CGAAAACACACAGAGAAATAAGTAGGACTTTGCGAGTACTAAGTGCTAGGCCAGTTTTATCCTCAACAACTGGGACTCTGTAGTATGGATGACTATAAACCTAAACACAAAAAGGCACCGAGAAGGTATGTTGGCAGTCTAACAAGTAAAAAAATTAAAATTTTAGACCAATACATCAGATCTTTTCTTGAAAACCTAAGAGAACCAGGAAAGAACCAAGGGAAGGTTGATCTTGAATAAACTCAGCCTTGACTCAACACATTCTCAAATGATATTAAAATGGGTAACTAGTCCCAAGACTGACTCATGGGGGAAGGTGACAAAGATACTGTCATTTGGAGGCTGTATTTTAATTGTACAGAATGCAAAGCTTTCAGTAAAGGCATGCTGCTGTCTGACTGACACCACACAAACAAAGGCAAGAGGAATAAAAAGGCTACAAAAACCTTCGCGAGTAATCTAAATAACAGCTTTAATGGAGAGGGGTTGTTACAGTTACAAAGGACCCAGTGCCTAGCATCACACATACATAGGAAAATGATTATAAAAATCCAGGAAAACAGATTCAGAACTTGCTTCTATAAACAACAGTCACCTGAAAGAGCTGGCGACAAGACTCAGTGGTTAAGAGCGCTCGCTGATCTTCCCAAAAGTTTGGTTCCCAAAACCCAGACCCAGTGACTCACAATACCTAATGTAACTCCATCTTCAGGGGACCTCATCTCTTATTCTGACCTCTACCTGTACACACACACATGGCAAACACACACACACACACACACACACACACACACACATTAAAAATAAATCTTTAAAGGAGAATCGCCTGGAAATTTTAGAACTGAAAAATATAATATATGCACAAGAACTCATTAAGTGGATTTATCAGAGATAAGAAACAGCACAAAACAGGATAAATGAATTAGAAGGTCCAAAGGAAATCGTAAAGAGGAGGAGGAGTTACAAAAAAGTATTAGAGACACACTGAGCCACGAGGCCTACTGTAGAACCAAGGAACAGGGGGTAAAACAGGTGTTTGAAAAGATGCCATCCAGATGATTTTCCAAACTGGTATTGGGCTTAAACAACCTCCAGATCCTGTCTTACTTAGGGTTACTATTGCTGTGATGCAACACCATAACCAAAATCAACTTGAGGAAGAGTTTATTTGGCTTACATTTCCACATTGCTGTTCATCAGTGAAGAAACTCAGGACTGGAACTCAAACAGTACCCTCGAGGCAGGGAACTAATGCAGAGGCTATGGAGGAGTGCTTACTGGCTGGCTCTCCATGGCTTGCTCAACCTACTTTCTCACAGAACCCAGGACCACCAGTACAGATGTAACACTAGCCGCAATGGCCAAGGCCCTTCCCCATCAATCACTAATTCATAAAAAAAATTGCTTAATGGAGACATTTTCTTAACCAACACTCCCTCCTCTCAGATGACTATAGCTTGTGCCAAACTAACATAAGACTACCCAGCACAAATCCAAACAGAGTAAATGATCATCAATAATAATATAAAAACAATAATACTTTAACAATGTACATCTTAACAAGTCTGCTGAAATCCCCCAAACAGAAAGAAAACAGTAAAAGTCCCCAGGTAGGGGCAGGCAACCTATATTTGATTTAGTGATGACAAATTCTCAACAGAAACCAAAAAAGAAAAAGATAACGGGTAACACCTCAAATACACTGCAAGAAAACCATTTGCATCTTAGAAAGCCACGTGCACAAGAAGTATCCTTTAAACTTAAGATAAATAAACACTACCAGATGGATAAAAACCAAGAAATCAGAGACTCGGGGTATAACTCATGGCGGAATGCAAGCAAAGACTCTGGATCAACCCCAGACCCTAGCAGTTCAGCCCTGATGCAAAAGCTAGCAATTTGCTCTAGAAAATCTGTCACACATACACAAAAATGTTATGTCATTAGGAACCCAAAAACTAACACAATGAGTTAACACATACCAGATAACAGATAACAGACAACAAAGACTGGAGAAAATGAGAGACAATGGGAATTTTCATCCACTGGGAAGATCAGTTGTCACTTTCTTGCAAATTAACCATAATCTTATTGCACAACCCATCAATCACTGTTCTTGGTATTGTTAAAATTTGAAAATTGATGTCTATACCTGAAGCATAATCATGAACTATTTATAGAAACTTCATAAATAGCAGCCAAAACAAGAGACACTAGGAAGTGATGCATTATTGGTAAGGAAGAGAGGCCAGTAAAGAGACCACACTGTGTAGTTGTGATGGTATGATGTTCTCAAAAGGAAAGTTTAGAGACAGAAAACGGTAGTGCTAGATGGAGTCTGGGCACTCAGGACAAGGGAAGAATGCACAATATGGTAAGGCACATGGAATTTTACATGTTACATATTTCTGAAAGCTCTGGAGCTGCACGGCAAGAAAAATGGGTCCCTGTGTGAACTACAGAATCTAGTAACAGTGAATCAGTCTTAGTTATCGGTGAGAGATGCGCCACTCACCGGTGAGACATAATACAATAAAGGGAGCCACTTGAAAGGTAAGAGCAGTGATGGGGAACTCTCTACTTTCCACTCAATTTTTACATAAACCAGAAGCTATTCTAAAACAAAGTGTGTTGATTAAAAAGATTAACTTCCCAAACAGAAAACCTTAAACATTGCAGAAAACCTATATATTGCAGAACTCTCCCCCATGATTAAAAAATAAAATAAAATTTCTTAACACTTGCAGAATGTAGCAAGGGAAAAAGGTGGTAACGCTCCCTTACTCATTCTATGAGGCCAGAACACCTTTATATAAGACTTGACAAGCACATGAGAAAAACAATGGTCCAGCAATTTTTCTCATGACATAGCTGAACTCCTTAACACTCATATCTGAGATTGTGCCAGCTCTGTCTTAGAAAGCCACTGAGACACAGCATCACTCACAGACAACAATGAGAAAAATATATACTGTTTATAAAGTTATAACAATTTTGCCTTTAAAATTTGGTTGTGACAAAGAGAGACATATCAATAAATAAATGTAACAAAATACAGTATACAATAAATTTATATCAAGTATCAGACTACAAAGAATTTTGTATGGTATAAGAAATGGCAAGAGATTTGTGCAAAATTTTACCAAATTTTACAGACCAAATACGAATTCATTTGACTGAAAATAATAGAGGCAGAAATGGAAAGTAGTTTCCAGACTGAACAAGGGTAGAGGTGGCAAACCCAGCACTATGGGTGTTCTACCGTAGCAAAAACCATAACCGGGATTTTAAAAAGTTATTAGAATTTCTTGAAAGTAACAGTTAGATTACAACCACGGTTTTGACCCCAACACAGGAATAGTGAGTGATTTTATTATCCAATTGTTACCAATAACAGGTCATTTGGAATAAAATCATAACTTATGAGTCCACTCTGACTGCCCCGCCCACAAGAAAATCTGAAAATGTTAAGAAAACGAAATGAACCAGATTCTCAGCAAGGTCATCCAAGGTTAAACGGTCTCAAACTATTTGGCCTTTGGCAGAGCAGGGAGGAAAGGGAGAGTGACCCATGGGGCAAGGGCAATCAACAACTAAACATACAGACTGATTTCTCCCCACTCTTGTTTTTAATTGTCACATTTTTCTATTTTAATTAAAAAACTTCAGACCATCTATTTTGATCATGTTTCCTACCCCCTTGCCCCTCAGACCCTACCTACTAACTACCCACCCAATGTTATGTTCTTTCTCTCACACTCAAAAACAAAAAGACCACAAAAATAAAAATAAAGTAGCAAAAAATCAATAAGACAAAAATGTCAAAGTGAAACAGAGAGTCTACCAAAAAAATCCATTGAGTTCATTTTGCACTAGTTAACTACTCCTGGGGACTGCCCTGGAGCTTGGTTGATATACCTAGTGACAATCTACTGTCAAAACTGATTTTTCTCCTTGCCAGTCCCAGATAGCGCCTTGGGTAGAGGTGGGAAAATGTATGCACTTTCCCCTCTCAGTGATGGGACTCCATCTGACTTGACGGTGTACAAGTATTGTACATGTTACCGGTCTCTGCGAGTTCATATGTGCCTCAGTCCTGTTGTGTCTGGAAGAACCCTTTTCCTTAGAATCAGCCATCTCTTAAGGATCTTACAATCTTTCTTTTCCACAAAATTTAAATAAGTAGCATAATATAAATGTTCTCCATCCTGGAGTTAAACTAGAAATCAACAAAAGAAAGGTATTAGAAAAGTCTCCGAAATTTTAAAAACTAAACAGTGCATTTTCTAGATAACGCATGGATCAAAGATAGTCACACAAGATAGATATTGACATTACCCATAGCCTCTAAACAACCTAAATAGCCACCAGGTAAGTACTAAATAGGGAAATTAATGTCGGAGTTTCCGAACATTATTCAGCAATTAAAAGGAATAGACGTACTGAAATATCAACAGTATGGATGAACCCCTAAAGCCTAACGCTGACAGAAGCACCCACAAAAGTTTACACACTGTATGATTCCATTTAGGTGACATTCTCATGTAGTAAAGATCTCCGGGCCATTCAGTGTCCAGTCTGTTTGTATGTGTTGAATAAATGCTAGGTGGGCGCATCGGAAATCATTGCAGGGAGAGTGAAGTGCAACAAAGTGACATTTAAAAAACTGCACATTGGGCCCCAATCCACACACGAGACAGTAAAAGAGAAGGAAGGCATGCCACTCAGTGTGTACAACTGCTTAAGAGAATAGGTCCCTTAAACGACTACATTCCCTGGCCTGAAGAAAGGCGTGATGTGCCCCACCCATCTTTAATAAAATCCAATCGCACCACGCAGGGGTATGAGCAAACCAAGGTGAGGAGCTCAAGGAGGGGTTTAAGACATCAAAAGGGGTGGGAAGAGCAGTCAGCTCTGGCTTGGGTGAAGGCAGTGTGGCAGACAGGACGTCCTGCGGCCCGCCCGGCCGGTCTCCAGAGCTTCCCATCAGCCCCGCTTACCCAGGCCTGCCGTTCCAGCTGAGCGTACAAATTGGAGCCCTTGAGTTTCTGGACTATCTGGGCGATGACGAGAGACAGGTCCGACTCCTCCTGCAACATTTCCCCAGCCCTAGCCCGCCCAGCCGCGGGGACAGTCGCCGGCAGGGAAAGAATGCGCTGCAGGGTCCCACTCCCGGCCGCTGACACTTCTCCCGGACCTTTTTTAACACTGGGACTCCTCCAGCTGGCGTTGCCAGGCAACTGCTGGGCCTTGTGTCCGTCCCTTTCTGGTCCCCTCCGCATCTGAAAGGCCTAGCACTTGCGTTCCGGGACCGGAAAGAGTCCAGGGCCAGGAAGCGGATTTCATTTCATTGTTCCTGCTCAGTCTGATCAAAAACCCAGAACAAAAGCTTGTTCATCGGCAGCCACAAAGTTTCAGGTGCACACAAAAATACCCGGGAACGCGCTGTGTGTGTGTTTGTGTGTGTGTGTGTTGAAATTTTGTTGGACTCTTTATAATATAGGTTCATAACTCTCCCACCAGTCTTCAAAATATGCCTGTGAATGCAATTGCTCCTGATCACACCCAAGAATTGTGGGCTCTGACACTAGCTGTCGCACTTCAACGAGGTGCTTAAATTTCAGAATTCAAGTTTACACCAGTTGACAGGATGTTTTGATGGTTGGGTGAGGTAAGAAACAATGCATGAAATTGCACTTTTGTTTCCTTTTCCACTGTTTGTTATTCTCTAGAGTCATATCCTAAGATTAGTCTCATTACAGATAGAAATTAACCAACAAACATAACTAGTACTTTTTTAACATTCTTAAATCAAAGATGACTAAGATACTGAACTGGTCTTCAAGAAATTTACCATCTAGATATATCTTCTCTTCCATGTGTTCATTCAGTCCTTTAGTCACAGTTCAACTTTCAGTTTATCAAACATCTACATACAAATATTTAATAAAATGCAGTTCTTATCCTCAAAGAAATATATGAAAGACATTTATAATTAGAAGTAACTGATTTAACTAATCAAATGTCAACCCAAAGGCCATTGATAACTCAACAGAAGTCCTAAGGTATAATTACACATTAGAATAATATTACTAGAGTAAGTAAAGATTATTTTCAGTTGTGTGTGTGCACATATATTTTAAGCAAGACAGAAGTAGTATTTCAGGGAAAACAGCCTGAGACTGCTGAAAAGGATGCTCTGGTCTAATTACATCAAACTTTAATGTCCTTAAGAATCATGAGAGATTTTGCTAAATCGAATGTGGTTTCTGATTCAATGAGCCCCTAGTGGGATCTGGTAATTTTAATTGCTGACAAGGCCCTGGAGATTGTAACGTTTGTGATCCAAAAGCTAAACTCTAAATAGGAAAGACATTGCACACATGCTGTCTGTTTACATCCTGGCATTTGTCACACCATCACAGAGACACTGTGAAGATAGGCGCAGACTCTCAAAAAATCCACCTGTTCTACATGGTTTAGGAAAACAACTCTGAAAGAGCCAGGCAGGAAAGGGATAGATTACTTTCTTTGTTTTTCTTTTCATTTCTTTTCTTTCTTGTTTGTTTTTGGGCTTTGGTTTTTTGTTTATTCAAGACAGGGTCCCCCTGTGTAGCTTTGGTGACTGTCCTGGAACTTGCTCTGTAGACCAGACTGAGAACTCACAGAGAGATCCACCTGCCTCTGTCTTCTGAGTGCTGGGATTGAAGGCGTGCATCACCATCGCCAGCTCTTTGTTTCTTTACAAAACATTTTCCCACAACTCAGAGTGTCTCAGCCCTGTGGATGACTAGATCTTAATTCTTTGTAGCCCCTCCAAGGTGATACCCTACCTGTTCATGAACTCTCACAGCAACCTGACTTTGAATAACAATAAAAAATCCATAATAAAATCTGCTTTGATGTTAAGAATAAGGGAATGATAACGAAAGATGTAACTGTGCTTGCCTGGGTTTGGAAGGGTCTTGGAGCAAAAAAGCAAGACTCGGATTCAGAAAACATTCTCGCTCTCTTCCTAGCATGTGCCCTAAGAACGACATGATTTCCTTTCCCATCAGAATGTCAGGTTTCACCTGGAAAATAAGGAAAATGCCACCCTGGTGAATATTCTGAGAGAAAGAGAGCCTATTTTAATGAATAAGATATCAAAAATGAAATAATTGGGTAAAATAATATCCCATAATATTGACAGGTAAATACTGAAAGTAGCTAAACATACAAGAAATGTGCACGTGTCCGGCAAGTTTTTGTACAGATATCGGCTTTATGTTGCTTCTGAGAGAACAATTTTCAGGCTTAAAGCAACAATCAAGAAGTTTAGGTTCGATTTTCTAATCCTACACAGGGAAAATAAACCCTTAATCATAACACTAAAAAAATGTTTCTTACTGACACAGAAGCAGGTGTGTTGGAGTGTGATTCAATTCTAGACTGCCCTCTGCTCTCTTTTTCCAATTCAATTTGGCAAGACCTTTCAAAGCACCTGCTTTGGGCTAGGAATAGCAAGAAATACAAAGATAAATAAAACTGTCTCTTCTCTCAAGGAATTCTCAGTCCCTGGGGATGATGTAGTCGGAATGCAAAAAGCTTGAATGAAGATAGACGCTGCGTGCATGCACGTTTTATTGTATTCAGGTCCCTGCTCCACAGTTAAGAGGAAAAGTCTCATCTCCAGTCTTCAGTAGAGGATTTGCACTCAAAATCCTTGCTGTACCCACAATGAGCAGAGACTGAGAAAAATGCTCTGCTTTTACAGTTGAGACCGAACCCTGATTCAGTCTACTAAGTGAATAACATTCCAACCTCACCTGAGTGCCTACAGCTATCCAAACAGAGTCAGAAATAAATAGTCACAGAGACGTCTCCAGAGGAAAGGTGCTCCTGAATCAGCAGATTTAGGTCTTTGGGCCCCGCCCATCTCTCTCAGACTTGCTCTGCTTTGTTGTGCTTTGTTGAGAAGTCATTGAGCACCTTTCTTTATTCACGTGAGTGTGGTTTCCATACACTCTACTGTCTACACTGGGAATTATTTCCACATGCTTTAAAAGAAGATGCTGATTTTAGCATGTTGTATTACAGAATAAATTGAACTATAGGCTGCCAGGAATTGACTTAAAAGATAAAAAAAAATCCAAGCACAGGTATTTCATGTTATCACAAATGCCACACACCTCACTGACTTTGGGAACAAATAAGTTTACGATAATTGTTGGGTCCAGGGGGGTCGTACAGACCACCAAAGTCTAATAAACCAGAAGTAAACTTTATTCTAGAAACCAGAATCCAGGAAAAAATAAAAAATAAAATAAAAAAATCTCCGTTGGGCACAAAAAGCTTATCATCTAGCTGAAACCACAGCCAGAGATGGCTATGGCCAGTTTCTAAACCCACTGTTTTGCAGTAGGGGCACCAAGCATTAAGTATGAACAAAGGAATTTTTACAATCTCAAAATAAAACTCAGATACAGATTGCCTTGCTTTACAATCTCCGTTAATAGAGTTTTTCAGTTAAATTAGTGTTTGTACTTAATCCACTGTCTTTCTTGATACTTCCAGGTAGTGTTTGCTGAAGCCCTTTGCTCTCCCCTTTGGTGATGCCAGTTTCACATAGCAGGGATAATGCATAACCCAGAGGTCATATTTCCTAAAAGTTGATTCAGCTCATATCCTAAACTAGCTCTCAGTTTGCAAAGAGATGCTTTCACCTTGTAAATAGAGCTATGGGTTGTAAAGTGGAGTAACCCACTGTTAACAGTTAATCCTTAAGCTACTGAGAAAGCTGCTGACAGTCTGTTCTCGTTCTCCTAGGCTTACAACTTTGTATTTATTTCTACATTCTTACTTCTGGAATCTACATTTTTATATTCTTATTCTTGGACCCTTCAGTAATATCCATTACCTATCAATGGGTTGATATGTGGTTCAAATGATGTTAGATAAGGGCAGCTTTGTGATGGGAATGCTCATAAACAAGCATCCCTGGGTGAGTCTTGTACTAATCAGTCCTATACAGACTATACTTAAGAGGTAGATACTATACAGGTTCAAACCCGCTTACATAGCTCACTCAGAATTTACATTAAAAAACCTACATTATTTATTTATGTGACATGTTTCTCAGTATCATGAAGATATTTTAAAAGCAAAAAAAAAAAAAAGGAAGGAAGAAGGGTGGCCTGTTTGGCTGAAAGTGAGACCCCAGCCCCCTGACACCCCTATATCCAAGAAGTTTGGGGTGTTTGGGTGGAAGCATCACCCCAGCCCCTGGCATCCATTTCAAGCCCCCTCCCCTGGGAATTGCCTTAGTCTGGACCCCACCTCTGGGAAAGCCCACCAAGCAGTGGCCTCTCCCCAGGGAGGGCAAAGAAAGCCCTCCAAGCCGTGACCCCTCCCCAGGGATGGTCAGGGCCACTCCCACAGGCTATTTAGGCTGCCGCCCAGAGAATGAACACATGGTCTCCAGGTTTCACGTGGTCTCCCCTTCTCTCTCTTCCCCTCGCCATGCTTTCCCAGTGCCATCCGGGGGCACTGCATTTAATGGGCATCTTTCATTAGGTCTAATTTGGTCTAATTGGAATTATTTGTGTCGGCGGAGAGGCTAGTCCTCAGAACTATTCCTAACATGGCCCTTTGAAAATATGGTCTGAGAGTATATGTCAAGAAGAGAATGTTTGCAAATGGTATTTTAAAAATAGATTTTTTTTAACACTGATGACTTGAGAAGGAAGTAGCTTCTTTGTAAATTACTTTCATCTAATTCCTCCCTATATTTGGAAGCCACTCTTCCAGGATTCTCAGTAATTGTCTCTGGCTGGACAAAAGGGGAATGGACTTTGGAAATACAATTTGCACTATTTGGAGCAAGTGAGGTTTACTGGCTAATTTTTAAGAAAAGGAAAAGAAAGGGAAGGGAAGGTGACTCCCCAGTTTCTCCAGGAACCTCTTGCTGGTAGGATAATAGGAGAGCAAGAGTTCCCTAGCATCATCTCCTCAATTCTCTATGCACACTCTGTTTACTTAGCTTGCTGAACTTCACCTCACACAATCACACGTTTTCATTCTAGGTATTTTTTTCCCCAGGGTGTTTTTTTCTTTTTTTTCTTATTTTATATTCTCTCTCTCTCTCTCTCCTTTTATTGATTCTTTGTGGACTTCACACCATGCATTCCAGTTGCACTATCTCCCCATCTCCCGACATCTGCCCTCTGCCCTTGCAACCTCCT